TATATATATATATATATATATATATATATATATATATATATATATATATATATATATATATATCGAATAAAACATACAGAAACAATGATAGGATGATTTACCTAGAAAATATTCATATTTTAAATATTTCTCAAAACGTATAACTCCGTTTTTTTCCAAACAATATTATTAATTAGTTAAAATTCAAAATATTCTTAAAAATCTTTGTTCATTTTTTTTATCAACTATTACAGTGTTTTCATTTGGTTCATTTTAAATATTTTTCATTAACATTTATAGTATCTTGATTTATAAAATATAATAAATCATCATTTTATTAAAAGAAATGATCACATCTCACGAGGTTCAGATATATTATAAGGTAATAAATTATTCTATAAATAAATATAAAATAAATATATATCATCAACCATACATGCTGGTAGGGATTTATAAAAAGTTATAAAAATAATTTTTAATATTTATGAAACATATATAAATGTTAATAATTTAATAGGAAATGATAATATATCAATTGATCATAAAATTTATACATAAAAAATAATGATAATTTTTATATAATAAATAAAATTATGCATCAGCTACATGCAATAGATACATAATAATCAGATAACGAAAACGTACATCACATCCGATGGTGTACTCTCCCAACAATATATGGAGACACATACTTCACGGGATAGATGATCATGGATGTGATGTACGCCTTCGTTATCTGATAATCCATGATCATCAGTAGACTAGTGCATCCACGATCATTATTAGATTGGTTATCCATGTTGGAAGTGCCACATATGAAAGGAGATATGGGCTCATCACAATGAGAAGCCACCAATAAACATAGTATAGAGGATCATACACCAAGTATAATCTCCTATAATATTTGATCACACCAATTTCTTAGATACATGCGTGAATGAATGGATGATCATGTAAATAAACGATCAAATAACAAGGCATACATCACACCCGATGATGCATTGTGATGAGCTCGTAACTCATTTCATATGTTGCACTTCCAACATGGACCACTAATCTAGTCATATATAGACTATATGATAACAATTATATCAATATCATAAACTTAAAAAATATAAAATAATAATTATTTTTAAATTATATATTCAAATAAATTTTTTTAAATTTATCACATCATAAAGATATACATCAATATCTTAATAGTCCTCAATCAACAAAAATCCTAATTGGAATAACTTACTTGACTTAAGCCAAACTTAATTCAATTATGACCAAACGGAACTAACCTCAAATCCTTATAGAATCGGTTTGGAATCATCATAGACTAGTTTAATGTAGATTTGATTAATCTCGATTAGATTAAGTAGGTTTGAACTAGTCAAGTTGGTTTGAAATCACTGTAAACCAGCTTTAATCGATCAAACATATCTAATTTAGTCAATTAACGAGTTCAAACTAATAAAGGGAGAGGAAATCAGACTATGTTGTATAATACTAGACCAAATCAAACCGACCCACCTAAGTCTTGGATGGGTCACATGTGTCACATGTGCTTGTATCAAGTAATAGTTTGGACTGAGGTACAATAGGTTGGATAGAGGAGTGACAATGTGTCTAGAGCTAATCACATAGTTGGGCAGGCTCAACTTCATAGATTAGGCTAAGCCTCACTCACAAGTTGGGTTAAACCTGACCATTGAACGGGGCCATGCTTGGCAAGTGGGTTGGGTTATGCTTAGATACAGAATTGAGGTCATGTTTAACCATATAAACTGAGTCATACATAGCTACATAAGTTGGACCATACTTAGCCACATAGGTTTGGTTGTACCCTGTCACATGGGTTGGTTGTTACTTGGTCATATGAGTTGGATTGTACTTTGCCACATAGGTTGAGTCGTACATGATCATATGAGCTAAATCGTACCTAGTCACTACTAGTCATAAGTTCCTTGTAAGCTAATTACGTGAGTGATGACACGTGTGACACACTACACCATCTTTTTACTTATTTTTATTATTGGTATTTTTTTCACTTTATGTTATATATTGTATATTATGATATCAACGAATCTATACAATGAAAATTAGATCGTGATGAGATCACGATAATGAGACTGATTCGTCTTTAAATATAGATCCTAAATAATCTCAACCATAGATTACTCGAGAGGGACATTCAGATAATCAGACAGACTAGTGTGTTATATACCTGTATATATGATGTAGACGGTTGGTCTCATAGTTGCTCATGTGGGAACATTGGAGATACAATTCTAGTAGTCATTGGAGAATAAGTTCACTGATTGATCCGCTTACGAAATGCTAAATGGTTGATGATACCTCATTGTCAGACAGTAATTCTGTGGTCCTAGCTATGTATTAGTCCTTAGACTTGAGACACTAAAGATATCCTATATAGTACTCCACTCTTTGATAATGGACTTATAGATTTAGAAGTTTTAGATCTAGCACAACTAGTCATTCAAAGTGATAACCAACCTTACGAGGGTAATTGAGTGTCAATAAAAGATCATTCGCTCTTGGTATCATGAAAAAAATATCCTATATATTCTTGGTCAAGTAAATCCTTAGCCAATGTCATTCAGATTGAGAGAGAATGAGTTCTCTAGGAGAATCCAATTAGAGCGAGACCCGAATAAATTTCGTATGGGCTTGGCAGCACCATGTTAGATATGGTCTCTATGATATTAGATGGATAAGAGATTATAGATAGACAATAACTAAGGACAAATATGTTCAATGAATTGTATTCCCATATATCGTCTGAGAACTATGGTGTAGTGGCATAGTACATCCGTAGTCGATGAGTCAAGTGAATTATTAAGAAGATAATAATTCACTAAGTTAGTATGACTCATAGCCAACTCGATATTACACTTAGAGGGTCACACACATATAGTAGGTGTTACAATAAGTAAAGCTTCGGATTTGAAATATCCATTAAAGCCCTTATCTTATTGGATATATAGTAAACTCCTGAATTATTGGATCTTTTGGGTGAGACCTAATAAGAGTAAATAAAGATTATTGGATTGAGATCCACTAATTCAAAAGGCTTGGGTGATTAGATAGAGATCCAGTACCCAATAGGGTAGGATTCATTATAGTTAAAAGGTAGGACCTCTGTAAATACAGGGGCCAAAAGGTGGCATAGGCTAGTCTTCTCTTGGTCGCCCCTCTTATTCTCCTCCCTCTCCTCTCTCCTTCAGTCGATAGCCCTAGTTTGGTGGATAGTAAGAAAGGTCAGCCCCTTCTTGATCACAGTGTAGGCCTTGTGGTGTGTGTAGAGAGAAATATTGTACTACAATTTGAGGAGTATTGTCGCCACATCTATCATGTTGATCATTGATATAGAGGTGGATCGTTGACCTCCTTCATTATCTTCTATACATTTATGATTTTTTAGGGATAAACAATCTCCCTAAGTAACAAATCTCCAATGATACGTATAGTTTTCAGTTTTATGATTTTTTAGTGCACTAATCGTTGTATAATGATAATATATTTTTCTTGGAAAATCTGGATTTTTATTTTTTGTTCTTCGACTGTGCATGTCCAGATTTCCAAATAGCTATATGAGTTGGATTATGCTTGGCTACATGTATTAGGTCATACCTTACCATATAGGCTGGCTACAACCCGAGCACATGGGCTAGGTCATACCTAGTCTCATGGATTGAGCTGTACCTGGCCACATGGGCTGGATTGTACATAACCACATGGGTTAGGTCGACCAGGTGTGACAAATCAACCTGACTCGAGTAAACCCCAATTAGACTCCTCTTTATCAACTTAGATTTTAATATTTTAAAATATTAAAGAATAACTCAAATTCATGAATTAAAGAATTTAAATTTATGATGTTAAAATTAAAACTAATTAAATTATAAAAATAATACATAATTCTTGAAACATAGATATATCTTATTAAATAAATTAGAACTTTATGTTAATCCAAAAATAAGTTAATATTTAAATTAATATTAAAATTCACTTGAGCTTAAAAGATAAATATAAATCAAATAATCATTCTAACAATAAATTAATTATCATTATTTATTAATTATAAAATTAAAAAAAAATGAAATTAGAACATTATTATGTATCATAAAATTTTAACAATCCCAATATGAAGATTTCAAAACATAACAATCCCTTTATATAGAAAAAGATTAGATCTCCTCGTAAGTAATAATTTATTTTTTATTTTTATTTATTTATTTTATTTTCATAGATAAAATGAGAAATATAATATTTATTTTTATGATTTATATACAAAAAATAGAATATAAACTATTTACTTCCTAAAAATCATATCACTCATTAAGAAATAAATCAATTAATAATTTAATTTATTAGTATAATTCCTAACTTGTTCACATGATTAAAAAAATTAATTTTAATCATTTTCTTAACTATAATACATAAACATTGAGGTAAATAATAAATTAATATATTATTTATAATAATTAATTTATGTTAAGGGCAGAATTAATGGTGATTATATTATGTCTTTTTAATTATCATTGATCATAAATTATTATAATATTATTTTTTTTAAATTTATAATTAATTTGATTGAGATTAGGAGTCTATTTAGATTATTAATAGTATTTTTGAGTAGATCATATAATGTTTTTATTATGATGACCAAAATATTATAATTGACTAAAAATATTATAATAGTTCAAAATATTATAAAAAGTAGAAAATTTTTGAATGACAGTTTAAGTATTTTTTAAAATTAATCAAAGACAATTTAAACATATTAAAATATATGAGTATTTTATAAGAAATACGATATGAAATGAATGCGGAGAATGTGAAAATGACATAATATTGGAGATTGGAATGTATAATTAATTTCATGTGGAAGGGCACGTGAGAAAATCGTGAACGTGGGTCCCGCAGCGACCCGAACCGGAGTGCTCTCATCGTTTGGGCCTCTGCTCTCGTGCTTCCATGGCGTCCTTCGCCATCTCCCCTTTCATCCCTTCCTCGGCTCCTCGCCTGCTGCCGTCGAACTCTTTCCATTCCTTTTCCCTGCCTCTCCTCTCACATCGCCGCCTTCGCTCTCCGGCCCGAGCCTCCGAGAGGTTGTCGTCCTACCATAAGGTACTCGAATCTTCTCTATCTAAGCCATAAGAGGCTGCTCGAATCTTCTCCAAGAGGCCATAAATTAACTTTAGTAATCGTAAAATTGGAATTTTGGCCCACAGGAGAAGGTAGCGGTGGTCCTGGACCCTGGAGCCTGGGTTGGCGATATTGGCGGCGAAGAGAGTGGCGGGGAGGATGACGATTACAATGAGGAGGACGAGGAGGAACAAGACCAGAGTTTGGATCTCATCGTAGGTTTTCTTTATAGCGTTTTCAGAAAGATCTCTCGGTCGATGCGGAAGGCCGCTCGGTCGGTGCTACCGCCTTTCATTCCCTCGAAATTGGTGCGTTCTTCACCTTTGATTCATTGATTTGTTTTCCTTTTTTATGTTGGGATGAAGCGAAGTTCGTGCTTTGATGATTACGAGGTGCTTTTGGCTGACCATTTGTGGTGGGATTTTGGAATAGGTGGGGTTCTCGGTCAATGGGGTTTTGATACTGGCCTTCCTGTGGATTCTTAAGGCATTTCTTGAGGTAATTCTATTTCTTTGTTTCCCTCTGTATGTTCTTGTACTTCTCGTGGCTCTTGTTCAAAGGGCGCCTTCTTATCGCTTCAGAAACCCTGTTTTGAGGAGGCTGAATGATTCTCGGTCATGATTTATTATTTGGTGATTCTACTTATCAAATCAAGATAATGATTGCAATATTCTTAAATGTAGCTTGGTAATGAACAAGCTTATTGGAAGATGAATTTGTGTATTTAAGCTAAAATATATAATTGGTAGCAGATATTAGCTTTCGCGATTTAGTTATCCCTCGTTCTTTGGTTGCTGTGGTTGGATCACCTTCAGTAGGAAAGGATTCTTTGTTTTCTGTGCATCTCAATGGTGGGTTCAAACAAGAATTTCAATAATTTTGTTGCTGCCATTATTAGCACATCGGAGAGGGAGGACATAATTAGTATATGGAATTATGATTGCTTCAATCTTTCCTCAAGGAAACCCAATGGCAACTAGGAGAGTAAGAAGTCTCTCACAGACTTGTATCTTGCTCTTTTATGTTTCATCCAGGTGTTATTCTTGAATATGGAAATACTATATGATTATTCCTCTCAAAAGATAAACATTGATGGGAAATACCGGTTGTCCATTAATTACGACAGGAAGTCCTTTAAACATAACACTTGACCAATCCATTTATACATTTTGAACACATCCAATGCATCTCTGGCTTCACATTCCCTCTGTTATATCTGAAAGCAAAGACGTTTCAAACATATAGTTCCTTTCGATTGTTTCTTGAACTTAAATCCAATTTATAAACCCTTTGTGTTTCTAAAAGAGTCCTTAACCTGTGATCTATAAATAGAGCACTTATGCAAGTCATGTTCTATGCCCTCGTGGCACATATGATGTGTTCTTCTTTTGCTTCGTTTGAAGTATGTAAAGAAATTTTGTTTTTTCACCACCACTGCATTTGTACCGAGCACCTATTGTCTCTTTTAATAAATTCTTCAGAATCATTTTCTCCGTGTGGAAATTTTGCATTCACTTGAGATAGGTGTCACCGCCTGCGCAAATCTCTAGTTGATAAATCATGGTATTGTAAGTTTCTTTTCTGGAATGAGCATGATGACATGTTTAGGATGTGGTTTGCCCGCTAACCTGCAAAAATGTTCCTTTTCTCTAGGTTGTAGACTGTACTATGGTATTCATTTCTTGGTTCTAGATTATTGGGTACTCGAGTTGATGCAAGCACTGATCTTCATTTTCTATCTGGTCTTTTGCTTCTGTTTACTCTGAATTTCTATTTAAAATCTTTTAAGAAAATTCCGATACAAATCTTGCGTACTCTGTCAATAATGGGCTTTTTAGGGTATTTGTTACAAGTTAAGTTAATATATTGCAGCCTATTTTTGCTTTTTCAAAATGATAAATTATTTCTATGCTTTTATACTATAGAATAGATTGTTTCTAATAGTTCAGGGCATTTTACTGCTAGAAAAGGTAGAAGAAAAATTCTCTTCTTTTTGCAAGGTGTTGTACTTTGGTCTTTGTTCTCTTAAGAATAGTCCTCGCCTTATTCCGCTTGGGTTTGATATCCTTATACTTGGCTAGACCTTGATATCTTGGTCTCCCTGATATTAGGAGACAGACAGAACAGAGAACCGGAAGTTGGCTATAAGGGACTCCTTGACGTTGTCATTTCATTCCCATTTTTCCTTAGCTAATGCAGGTGACTTAATGATGCTTATATTAGGAAGAATAAACAGATAATAGCTAGACCTACTTTAAGATTAGTCAATATGGATCCAGGAAAGCGATTAGTTAGACCAGATTACAAACCCAATATGACATGCAGTGGATGTAAGAGCTCAAAAGTAAATGGAAGAAGAAAGGATGAGGGAGAGTGATAATATGTAGAGAAACCAATCAAGTGGCCACCTCCGAATTGTGTTAATATTAGGCTTTTTAGGACATCTCTAGGTGCATAGGATACTTATAATCTGGATACTGTTAAAACTCAGGCTATGCTCTCCGTATGTAGAAGAATCACAACACCGCCGTCGTAAAACCTCCATCCAGATTGAGAACTTGACAGATGCATATTTACAGAACATGCTTGGCTTATGTCAAGGAAAATATACAGACGGATATTATCCGGCCCACCTCTTGCCTCAGAAGAAGGATTCTATTTATTCCTCTGCATCACGTCTAACGCAACCAAACAAGAACCTGTTCTATGCTTAGCTTGTGTACAAATTGTTTCATTTGGATTTCTGTGTTTCGCTTAACCATCTTGATTCGATCTCTTGTCCAACCGCAGGTTGTCTGCACGCTAGGCAGCATGGTGTTCGTTAGCATGCTGCTTGTCCGGGGGATATGGTCCTTTGTGACTTACACGATGGAAAACCAATACAACTATGCAAGCAGGAATGACGAAGAGGGCAGCAGATGGAGTGGTGTCGGTGCTGCTTGATTCATGGTCCTCCTCATTTTATGAGGAAGCACTGAGACCTCAAGTCTGTACATATCTTGGTGTCATTTGGGGAGGACTAATTTCTATGATGCTTTTTAACTTGCCACACCAGAATTATAAACCAGATTCAAGCCCATTGACAATGTCAAAACTCGACTACTCAAGCCGGCCGGCATTCTTGTGTTGTTGTTGCACGAGTTCCATTCACAACAGGAATGTATAGTGTTACAGCAGCAGCAGCAACAGGATTCATCACTCCAAAGCTGCAGCAAAAGAGACAAGCCAACAGATGAAACCTGGAAGCACCGACGCCTCCCAGGCTCCACACGAAACTTAAAGGCTGCTGCTTTTCCAAGTTTCATATTGTGTTAATGTGCAAGCGTGGCTGCCACCAACCTTCCTCCCTCTTGCCTCGACTTCAAGGGGAGGAAGCTGAGCCAGAGGCGGCTCCCACCTCACATGCATGCCCTCTCTGATGCGCGCACCGAGCAAACATGAGTTGGGAGCCGTATTTGCCGCAACTTTTTTGGCTGGCTGCTCCCCAAAGGATCAGTGAAGATTATTGGACAAAATGCATGGTCCTTCAAATCTTATTTTCTTCACATTTAATGAATTTTTGTATTCTTTCTTCATCTTCCTTATGGCTTTCTCTTCACAGAGGAAACCATACGAGACGGAAGTCTCGCTCGCCGTGGCTTCGCCCTGCTACCGTACTTCGTTCGACTCCGCCATCGTCTTTTTCTCTCTACAGTATAATTAATGATCAGAGTTCGACGTGTGTGACATTGCAAGTAAGCTAAAAAACGAATTATTTCTTAGTCTAATAGAAAATGATTCAAATAAAATAATATATAGTTCACGTTGACGTTTCTACCCTACCACCAAGTCACATTGCAGTTCAAACAAAGCTGCCTCTCGCACCAGTTTGTACGACCAGAATGTCTTTTTCCACATGATCTGCCCCACTCTAATTTTGTAAACAGGTGAATAAGTCATCCGATTGGTGCGACCTTTTCTGCCATGAATTCACCTAATCCGATATATAACGAGTTGCAGTCACATCATGCACCCTTTTACGTGGACCAAATGTCATGTCACCTTCGCCAGGTAGCCATTTAGAAATGGGCAGCATCATCTGCACAATTCAGTTTGTTCCAGGCGTCACTGCCCATGCCTTCTCACGTTTTGACTGTGTTCTTTGACAAACGTTGCACAATTCAATTATTGCCCGAGTGATCTATAAAGGTGTCCAAAGCTTGGTTTATGATATATCTATGAAAAGCTCTTACTGTTAACTACTTAGTTTAGTGTCCTTTCCGTAGATATGACAAAAGCAAGAATCTGGAACTCGTATGTCGGGGTAGAGAAGAAGTTCGGAGAGTATACGAGAGTTTGTAGATTAGAATGACGCTTTATCGATCAAAGAGCCCACGACATGACTTCCAACACTAATCATCTTCTCACGCTCTCTGTGGGCTTCTCACGGAGTAATTCTTGGTTTAGACCGACGGCCTCCACCGCTCCTTCGCAGCGACAACCATCAACATGATTTGACGTGGGACAAGAAGAGCCCTCTCACTTGCGTCCCTCTCTCTCTCTCTCTCGGCCTGCTGGTTCGCAGCTACATCCATCAACATGATTTGACGTGGGGGCAAGAAGAGCCCTCTCCCCCCTCCCCCCTCCCCCCACACCCTTCTCTCTCTCTCTCCTTCTTGGTTTTCCCACCATCCCTGAGACCCAATTCCTTCCGCACCTCTCCGACTGTTTCAGTAAAGGTCTGTCGGAGAATCCACTGTAGGCCTCTCTCGCCTCAGGTTCGATCATTAGGCTTCCATCAAATCAAACTCTGGAAAGCTGAACTTTTCGGGTTAAAGATGGAGGAACTTTACCAAGTCGAAGTCTACCAGAGAGATGCTACGGGGCTCATCCAAACATCCTCTCCATCTTTAGCTGCGTCCGCTACGACAAGCAAAGTATTAACAGTAGCAGCAGTAGCTGCACCTCCTGCTTTTTTCCATGGAAAAGCACACTGTTGGGCGGATCCTCTTTCCTTCACCACCACCCACCACCATCCCCTGCACCTTGAAACCTCATCCTCCTCATCACCTCAAGATGCATTTCAAAGAAGAGCAGCTGCCTCTTCAAGTGACATAGATACCATCAAGGCTAGCATCATTTCACACCCTCAGTACTCCAGCCTTCTCTCTGCCTACGTCAACTGCCAAAAGGTAAATTAACCCTATCAGCTCCACTGAAACTACACCTGTATCTCACCACGCAACCTGTGCTAGTAATTATCTCATGTGTTGGCAGATAGGAGCTCCACCAGCTGTGGCAGACCGGCTATCAGCAACCGCTGGAGAGCTCGAGGCAAGGCAGCGAGCGGCGTTGAGCAGCAGCCATCCCTTGACTGATCCTGATCTTGATCGATTCATGGTCATATATAAGATCCTTCGTCTATACGCCGGACATATTGATAGTTAAGCTTGTTTTCCTCCATTGATCGTTGTTTTGAGTTCTCTACCATCGGAATTATGATAGGAAGCTTACTGCCAAGTGCTTGTGAAGTACAAGGAAGAGCTAACGAGGCCAGTGGAGGAGGCCAAGGAGTTCCTCAGAAGGGCCGAATCCCAGCTCAACTCCATCACCGACGGTTCCCTTCATCTTCTTTCCTCTGGTAACTTATTCCCCAGGCTAGCAGTACTAGTTTGCTTTCATTACCATCGATATAGTCTGTTCTCTAGATTATATTGTTCTACGGTAGTAGCCATACATACACATCTATAGCCAGCAATAGAATAACATAGGCAACAATGTGTAAGACGGATTCATATGCCCTTGTCACGAGGATACAGTAGTAGTAATCGCATAATCATCTTTGGAAATTAAGCTAGAATTTTTAGGACTGTTAGGTGCATATCTTAGGGTTCCTAAGACGACACTGCTTCCTGCCTGAACAAGAAGCGTTGCATCATTATTGCTTTCAACTTTTCTTTGGAATTGGAGAATTGCATGAATGAAAAAGATCCACGAAAGCTTGACCAATTACTCCTTACGAACACATGTGAAATGATAAACTCTGTTTCATCCATCAGTCAAACTTGTACATGGTTTGATGATAAATAAAAAGAAACTTGAGTCATAAAAAATGAAGCTCACAGCATCCGACGCACTTCATGCCAATTTATTGCCATGTTTTACATCCATCCAACATCGCCAGCTTTTGCTACTAATTCCACTATAATTCCAAGGGTACCTTCTGTGTGAGGTGGCACCACAGCACACCTATGTGAAGCACATGGCCTCCATCTTTATTCTCTTGTACGCTTGAGTCATATATATATATATATATATATACACACACACTCTTTCTGATGGCCAGAGATGTACGATCACCGAACATTTGTTAGTCTTGCAGACACGTAAAACAAATTCTTTGTAGAGAGAGAAAGAGCGAGTCATATGCTCGCTGGGACTATTTCTTTGGCAACATCTTGGTGCGCTCATCCATGCAAGTGAAGCATGTACGCTTTGTTAGTCGCTCGTGTGCTCCACGTACTGGCCGTGGGAGATGTTGCTTTCAACTCCTCCATGCATGGTCTTTCACCTTGAGAGATCGCGTGCGCCCATCAAGGGCACATTTTGGTTTGCTGAGATTTTGAAGAATTTAGGTCCGAGTCAAATTTATTAGAAATAAATATCTGTGAGACCAAAAAGATAACTTAGAATCATTGTTACCTATACTAAGCATGACTTTTAACCTCCTAATAAACTTCAAATTTTAGACTGAATAGATGTCAAATTTAACTGAAATATGATCGTTAGATATGTTTCTTATTATTTTATCACTTATCTGATTGTTATGTGCACTATAATTTCCTGCAATCTCATATTTGGTGTCAATATATATATATATATATATATATATATATATATATATATATCTTTCACATAAAGAGATGAAAAAAACAAAAAACAAAAACTGTGATGTTTATCGCTTCCACGGACTCAGGATATGTTTCCCCAACACGATGGGATAGATTAGTAGAGCTCACATAAACATCCAGCTTATAAGTCGTACAGCTTTCTCTTGTGATGCAGATGAGAACAGCGGAGGTTGTTCCTCGGCAGAGGATCAAGAAGCAGGTGGAAGCAAGACTCGACTTCCTAAGATCGACCAGTGCGGCGAGGAAGTAGAGTTAAAGAACTTCCTCCTGAAGAGGTACAGTGGGCACATGAACAGCCTCAGGCAAGAGCTGTCCAAAAAGAAGAAGAAGAAAGGAAAGCTCCCCAAAGAAGCCATCGAGAAGCTACTCAGCTGGTGGGAGCTGCACCACAAATGGCCATATCCATCAGTACGTCTTACCGACTCGCAACCCTTCCCGCAACGGCCATAACTCAAAAAGTCTCAAACCCTAATGCCTGTGCCCGAAACATGCGCAGGAATCGGAGAAGAGAGCGTTGGCAGAATCGACAGGACTTGACCAGAAGCAGATCAGTAACTGGTTCATAAACCAGAGAAAGCGACACTGGAAGCCAGCCAAAGACGAGCAATTCATCATGACGGATGGCTACGATCCATCGAATGCTGCTGCTCTTCATGCGGATGGAGGCTTCATGAGTGACGGCCGATGTCACGCAGGACAATGATGGACCCTGATATAGTCTTGGAACTGCTTGATTCGTGGAAAACCATACGCAGGCCGATATGGATTAATGGTTCTTCGGCCTGATGATGAAGGTTTAATTGGGCTGGATTTGATTCAAAATATCATATTGGGCTCTATCATTTGACGAAAGCACAGCTATCTGTAATCATCAGTCCAGTGTTTGGAAAGGAACCGATAAAAGAAGTGCTTTAAATACGAAGAATACCAAAGAACTATTACAACGACGACATTTTACTTCCCATGGTGGCAGATCATTGCTTCCCTAGGAATAGTTTGACTGTCCTTATATGTCCCCAGGAGACGGTCAACGACAACCATCAAAGATCGTTGAAGTAAATGTTTGGTGGTGATCTGTTGAATTTTAGGAGATCGACGCGGAGTCAGAAATTTCAGCAGACATCGGCAACGACAACCATCATAAATTGTTGAAGCTTTAGGTTGGTGGTGGTGGCGATGGGTTGAATAGTAGGAGATCCAGACGAAGAAAGAGAGCTGGTATCTGCAGATATGGCAGAACAAAAACGCTTCAGGTTGGTGGTGGTGGCGATGGCAGAATAAATAAGCTTCGGTGAATGAATCCAAATTGCTACACGGCAGGAGAAGCTCGACGACTGGCCGAAGCAGTGAAGTCATGCAGCTTCCGTTTCCCTCTTGCTGGCGAGAAATCTACTCATACCGCGCGGTAGGAGTACGAAGGCTTCTTTTCCTTTGTGTACGTGCACAGGTTTCCTGCAGCCCAACTATAGGTGTTGACGATGGTTATATATGCATCGAAAGGCTAATTAAGAATCAGGGCTTGTTATCAGACACAGATGAAGAAGCATCATCAAGCTGACAGGTAGAGAGTTTGGTAAGACGGGCATAGACAAGTATGTAAGCTCTACGCATTAGAGATGTCATCGGTTGTTTACCTAAACAATAAAGCATCCATTGGAGCAGAAGGAGCTGAAAGGTTGAGTACAAATAGTGCTTGGTCAATTCTCCACCAAGTTTTCTGAATCAGATCCATGATGTTATAAGTTTAAAGATCGGTAATATAATTCTCACAGGTATGTTTGATGTTTAAGAGTCTCATGGCTGGGTAGCTATTGGAAATAGCACAACAAGTGTGTGTATATGTCAAGGACATCTGAGTTTGCCACGGAGCAAACGGAGAAATGTTTGCTTCCATGGCTTGCTGAATCAAAAACAAGGACAACATGGCTATTGCTTGGACTAAAACTAAAACCCAATCAAGAGCCTCACCGATCACTACACAACTTCCTCTTTACCAGTCTCTACTTTGTGCTGGATCTTCCGTGAACTGGTGGGATCGCGACGCCCATCTCTTTCTTCCACTGAAGCAATACCATGCAGGTTGGAGTCCCTGGGTTCTCGTGGAAGTACCCGCTTGTTCCCACCTTGGATGGAGCTCCCCTCTGGTTCCTCTGTTTGGGCAGTTCGATGTGGCTCGCTGTTGACGATCACTGCATTCTCTGTCTCGGACTTCTTTTTCCATGGAAGTTGATCTTGAAGTGGATGCGAATTGGATGGATGTCGTAGAGCCATAACATCCATCGTGGTTTGTCTTTTCGGCGTCTCTGCAGTATGATTCTTCCGGACATCGGTTTGTTTCTTCGACGAATATGTTGATCCCAACTCCAATTCTGTTCGATCATCGGATCCATTTGCTGAATGCGTCTGCGGTTTTGTCTCATTGAATATGCGATCTGCAGTTTCTAATTCGGTTTGGTCATCCACGCCATCATCAGCTTCACCGGTTGTGCTTGTGGTCACCTTAACGTCAGGCACAGTCGAGTTGTCCTCACGAGCCACACTCGAATGAGTTCCTTTGGATGAATCGAACGGTCCAATTCCAGATTCAGGTTCTCTAACCGGAACAAAATGATCAACAGCGCTAGAAGCATCATCAGCTGTGAAGCTTCTTTCCCGTGCCTCCTGAGTTAGTTCTTCGTGTTCTACGTGTTGACTGTCACTGTGGACTACCTCGCTGGCCGCGTCATCGGCTTTAAAGCTTTTTTCTCGAGCCTCATGAGACTGCTCTTCGTGTTCTTGATCCTCTAACGCACCCGTTTTCTTTTCATCTTTGTCTACTCCGTGAGCGGTATGCTCCTTGTGCTCAGCCTCCTCAGCTGGATGCTCATCATGCAAGTCCTCTTTCGCTCTGGTATCAGGCACAGAATCCGCCTCGACTGTGCGTGGGAGGAGGTCCTTCCTGCCAAAGCTAGCGATCTCAGACCGCGCCTCGTCAGCTCCGAACCTTTCCTCGTAGGCCTTCCTCCGATCATGGGAGTGCTTCATCTGGTAAAGCAACCAGACACAAACAGCAACCAACATGCATATCTGGAGAGCATTCTTCGCCTTGAATCCCCCTTTTGCTCTGTGGTTCCTACTGGATACCTGCCTCAGCATGTTGGCTTTCCTATGTAACCAAGCACTCGTCTTCTCCACCGGTCCTAATAGTATTTCTCTCCTCCTATTTAGCGACTCTGTTCCTCTGCAAGACAAAGACACCTAAAACCAGTGTCTGATTTTAATGCACGGTTATTTGGTCTTTTTCCAAGATAACAAACAATAATATCGCCCCAAGTTCACAGCATCCAGAGAGAATAAAGCTATGAAGTTGATGATTTGTGATGTCTTGTTAGCCCAAAAGCTGATGATCATACAAGTTATGTGACAGGAGAGGGAAGGGGAAACAACATGCAACTATTGTATAAGATGAAGAGGAAACTTTGTGATGTCTTGTTAGCCCAAAAGCTGATGATCATACAAGTTATGTGACAGGAGAGGGAAGGGGAAACAACATGCAACTATTGTATAAGATGAAGAGGAAACAATCCACATATATCAAAATCCAAGCTCCACCAAATACGAACGGATAAAAAAGTAAAAGCAGGCGCACACAAAGAACAAGAGATTAAAAGAAAGAAAAGTTTACCCATCAATCAAATGGAGAAACACTAGAACGGCATACCTAAAAGAGTTCTTGCTGTTTGCTCAGTGCTGGCTCATGGAGGAGGGAAAGGGAGAGAGAGAGAGAGAGAGAGAGGGAGAGGGAGAACAGTACAGAGGTGATTTTAATGAGGCCTTCCGTGGTCAAAGTCTGGAAGCTACATCCATGAAAGCAACCACGGTGCAGTAACAATCTTCACCTAATAACTTGGTGAGAGATGTGTCTGACAGGAAGAGACTTTTGAGCAAAATTTTCCATTGGTCCTGCATTTATGTATCAGCCAATACTATCAGATGTTCCTTGTTGGACGGCATCACGGTCCATTATTGCTGACTAAAAGCGACCCCAATTCATCTTCTGCAATTGTTCACTTAATGATTTTTTTCTTTTCTTTTCTTTTGTCAATGTACTCAAATCTTCTTCCACTTTGTACTGTGTCACAGTATTTGTCTTGTATTGATAAAAATATTATAATTGGATTTATTTGGATTGTGAAAGTAACGGGAAAAAAAGGGAAGTAATTTTAAAAATGAGATTTCTTACTGAAACAACTCAAAAATATTTTTTTTGTACAAGAATTTACTATATCTATATTTATATATATATATTATCGGCGAAATTGGTCACGGTCAACCCACGTGGTAGTTATGGGATTAGGCACCACCAGCAGATGCTGCATTTACTATTTATGAAGAAAGGCAATTAACTATACAGTAAACAAAAGTCGCAATGTGCCAATTACATAAACTCAACTATATGATTTTTTTCATGTTTATTTTTCTAATGTTGAGTTAATATCACTTATCATAGCTAAGTGGTCAGAAATCCTTTTGTTTGTTCTGATGATATTTTTCATAAGTCACTTTCTAGCTCTTCTCGTGGCATTAATAATATCAACTGGCTTATCTTATTTGATCATTACATGGATTATTCATGAGCGACGTGTTTTTTGTTAAAAAAAGAAAAACTAAAGAATTTTATTGACAAAAGGGAACGATAAAATCTAAATTCAAAAAATAAATTCTTATAAAAGCTAAAGAATTTATTGGTCCCTCATTAATTAGGGCAGAAGAGTTGATACTTGGAGTTGTATGCTGATAATTTCAATGGGGATTGACATCCGCTCATTGAGTTGTCGAGAAATAGTCTTCACGCAGATTGACATAATAATAATAATATTATTATTATTTCATTTTGACTTGTGATAGATGTTAGGCTGACTTCATCATCAGTGATGATAATTGTGTAGCACGATTTAACAAGTGATAATTCACGCTCGAATAAATTAAAATTTAATTGTTGGAATAAAATTACAATCCGAATTAACTTGATGGATTAGGAATTAAAGATCGGTGATGTGAGAATTATGAAAAAGATTGTGAGATCTATAACATATAAAGATTAATCCTATCTGATTAATCTTTTAAACTCCGTCCTGCTGTAAGTGCTTGCAAGCTCACTTTACTCTTCATGGATCGATTGGTGCGTGTGGGCCTCTGTCTCCCCTTCCACAGCATTCAAATCCGGTAAAACCTATGGAACCAAGCGAAGACAAAGGTTGACGCTCCACCTGTCGAGAAGCGCATCAAGTTCTTTCCCAAAGCGTCTGCGCTGGGCTTCGAGCTTGTTCGCTCTGTTGTTGGGCCTTGTCCTCCATTTTTCACCGTGCCATTGCTTCTGCGCGGATCTCTGGTTGTTCAATCGGTGCGACGAAAAGAAACCCGTGAGAATTCTTTTTATGAACAGGCGTTGTGTGTGATAGCATATGAGATTTTTGTAATACTACGATGAAATCTCTCTACTTCGTAGATGAAATTTTTTTTTCTCAATCTATATAAATAGTGAGAGAACATATCAATGCTAGACAGCTTCTTCAATAATTTTTCATTCTTCTATCTCTTTTAACATGATATCAGAGCCATAGTCACAGTAATATGAGGGCTCTATCTCGTCTCAGAACCATGGTGACCAAGTATTCCACCACTGTCGGTGCGTCATTCTTTAGGGAGAACCTCGGCAATAGCAGAGCGCTCGGGGAGGGCGAGTTCGAGAAACTCGTCCCAACGTACACCTACGTCGCTACCTATGTATACCTATGCCGTTGCTTCTTCTCCTCCGACTGTAAAGGGTGGGTAACGCCAATGTGCTACTGCGCCATTACTTCTTCTCCTCTGGTTGTAAAGGGCAGCGCCACTGTGCCACTGCGTCACTGCTTCTCCTCTTCCGGCACCGCTGCTTCTCCTCATCTGGATGGAAAGGGCAGCGTCGTTGTGCTGTTGCACCATTGCTTCTCCCCTTCCAGCCTCACTAGAGATCGACGGGACTCCTCCACTACGCAGCAGCTTCCTCTACTGTATAATCCCAAGGAAGCTGCAACTGCATCCTCTTCCGTGGTCAACCAAGCTGTCGCCGCCTTCGTCGAGAAGGGCATCGATCATGTAAAGAGTCGTGATCAAGTATAAGATTCGCCTCCTTCTCCGATCTCTTTCCTGTCTCACTGGCTTTGATCTCCCCTTTTCAGCACGCCTCCACGAGATCCTTGGTGATGAGGGTAATAATAATGATGGGACATGAACTAACGTCACCCACTCCCGGGTGACGTCTCCTAAGTCACGCAGACCGAGAAGTTGCGGGGGTCGCTTGCCTCGGTCTGACCTGACAGCGCCTGGCCGAAGCAGACCAAAACGTCGACCGAGGCACGTCGCCATCCTGTAGGAGCCCGGTCCTTCACGCAACGCCATTGCCGATATCAGACGTTATCCAAGGTACGACCTTTCTCCCTGCAAGCGGGCACATCAGGAAACGATGACCTTCCCTATAAAAACCCTCGCGTTCAGAACGAAGAGAGAGGGAGATCAAAATAAGAAAAACCTCCTGAGACTATCGACTGACTTGATCGTCGGAGGGGTCAGGTCGGGCTCTCCCGACCCGACCTGTGTGCAGGTACAAAGATGGAGTGCCTCCCACCGAACCCTCAGGCGAGGGATCCCCTCTCGGAGAAAACAGTGACCCCGTTGCGATTGAACCATCGCGGTCGGCTACCTCAGTAGTCTTAAGGGTCGTTCAGGAAGATCTCCAATCATTCGGACTCGAACCCAACCATATTGGCCCCGAGGCTACGGCGTAAAGATGTTGACACTAACACTTGGCAATCACCCTGCGAAGCCTACTACGCACCTTCGTGGGGAACCACTGCAATCTTCTTTCCCCACCCACGATGCTCTCCCTCGACTTCTCCGCTCGCCGCTTAGTGCATCTCAAATTGCGACGGAAGCAACGCAGATCTACCTGAGATCTGCCTCTCAAATTGTAGCCTCTACAATCTCAGGGGTGCTGCGACATCTCCGCGGCCATTTCCCGGCCCACAACAGCTGCCGGCAGCTTCCTCTACTATGGTCTCTTCCAGGCTCCCCACAGCAACTTCTTTGCCGCAACAGCTTCAACAGCCGTAGTAGTGATCTGCAGCAGCTACGATCTATAGTAGCTGCAACTGCTGCAATCGCCGCAGCAATGATCTGCCGCAGCAGCGAGCTACAACAGTGGCAGCAGCCTCTTCCCTCCCTCATTCTCCAACTTCTATGACATGATCGTCTGAGAAGAATCAAGTTCAACATGCCTTGCTGCAACTATTTGCAGGCAAAAAAAAAACTAGGATGTCTTCGTTCTCTTCTTCTGATATTCCAATTCCTATCTCTACACGGACTCACACTTCTTCTCCTACAGGGCTTATCTCCATCAATGCTGCCACACTAATCCCTTTCAAGTTATCAAAGGGTGGCAACTATACATTATGGTTGGGTCAATTTTCTAATCTCTTATTTAGATACGACTTGTTAGGCTACATTGATGGCTCTTTTAGTTGTTCGTCATGTTGGGAAATCTTGGGGGCGACATCACATGCACAACGGAAGAACAAGAAAAACAAAATCCCTGATTCCCAAAGAGATGTTCGTCGTCGTGCGAAGATTGGTGCGTAAAATCCGCGAAACTGAAAAACTGCGTATAGAGTAGATTGTATTACCTAGGGAGATCATATATCCCTGTTTCCTTACAGATCTTTAGGAGAGGGTGAAGGAGGTTAAGCGTCCTCCTCTCTAGCGGTGATCCACACAGTAGGGCTGCGACGACGCTCCTCAAAACTCTAAGTCTGCTCTGAGGTGGAGGGGGAAGGAGAATAGGAGAGGCAAGTAAAGGCTCTAGCCTATGAGGCTCTGAATCCTCCTATTTATAGAGGTCCCCTATCAAACCCTAATGGATCCTCCCCTAGTGGGTATTGGATCTGCATCCAATAACCCAAGTCTTTTAGATTAGTGGATCTCTATCCAATAATCTCTCATGGGCTCTTATTGGATCTCGTCCATGGGATCCAATAATTCATGGGCTTATTGGATATCCAATAAGATAAGGGCTTCGTCGGATATCTCATATCCGAACCTCTACTCATCGCAATGCCTACCATATGTGTGTGACCCTTTAGGCCCAATATCGAGTTGGCCGTGAGTCATACCTGTCAGAACTCCTTCTAACTCAGTGAATTATTATCTCTGTAATAATTCACTCGACTCATCGACTACGGATGTACTAGGCCACTACGCCGTAGTCCCCAGACGATATAGGGGAATCCAATCCATTGGACCCGTCTGTCCTCAGTTATCGTGTACCTATAGTGCCTCATCCATCTAATATCCCAGAGACCATATATCGAGCATGGTGATGTCAGACCCATACGGTTTCTACTCGAGTCTCACTCTAATCGAATTCTCTCGGAGAACTCTTTCTCTCTCAACCCGAATGACCCTCGCTAGGGATTTGTCTGAGCAAGAACACATGAGATATTTCTCTCATGACGTTGAGAGTGGATGATCCTCTATCGACACTCAATAGCCCTCGTAAGGTCGACTACCACTCCCAATGACCAACTATACTAGATCTGGGACAATCTTGTTAGGATCGAGAGCACTAAGAGGGGGGGGGGGGTGAATTAGTGCAGCGGATATTTTTCAGCGATTAAAAAACGAAAGCTGCGTTCGTTCGATAAAGCCGATTCTAAGATTACTTATGATTAAGTGCAGTTTACGTTTAAA